AGAGAGAGAGAGATAGATAGACAGACAGACAGACAGACAGATAGATAGATAGATAGATAGGTAATTAGATGGAAGAGAGAGAGAGATAGATAGATAGATCGATAGATAGATAGATACATAGAAAATAGATAGGTAGGTAGGTAGATAGTCAGAGAAAGAGATTGAAAGAGTGAGAGAGATCAAGCACCTTTCAGTCCATCAGTGGCTTCGCTCTGCCATCCCTGATTCACAACAACCAACCTCTCCTATAGGTTTCCTATTTTTGAAACTTCCGCCACCGCCTTGTGCGGTACTACTGGTATACCTATTAAATGACTATAGATGATATTAAGTTAGTATCCCATTTGTTCATTAACTGTGGACATAGATGGAAATAGCATCATGATCCCATTTGTTGAATCCCATGTTCCTTTGATCTTAATTGAATCCAACTATTCAATGGCTGGTGAATAATCATCCCAACTGACCAAGAGCATGGCTTTTATTTTTGCAATCCCAAACTGGTTGGTGGTTTGGAACATGGCTTTTATGACTTTCCACAATCTATGGGATGTCATCCTTACCATTGACGAACTCATATTTTTCAAGATGGTTATCGCACCACCAACCAGAATACTTCTTTGGCAAAAATGGAAGGGTTAACCAACGACAATAGGGATTTATTAGGATTTATTGGGCTAAATAATATGGGGATATTCTGGGACATAATGGGACTTTCCTGAACTTGTCAAGTAACACGGCAATGGACAATTACTAAGTTCTTTGTGATATACCTATTAAAACTGGTGATGTTCCATTGCCATGTTTGATTCCCGGAGGGTATCTCTACGGGGTTAGGAAACAAACCATTTCATGTGAATAATTAATTACTAGGATTCACAATAATTTCATATAATGACAATGACTTCAAGAACCAATAATATGATATGTTAATTGTTTCCTCAAGAAATGGACCCCCCATTGGTGGCACTTTTCACAGAAAGATGGGGGAAGGATGATATACCATCAAATTTTCGGACCGAACCATGTGCATATGGTTGTTTGTGTCTATCGGCCCCTGAAAAAATAAGTACCCACAGATAGCAGTCTTTGGGAGGAATTATGAAGTATCCTGTGATTGTGGGCATATTGCTGTATCGCGATGTAATGCGGTGTAGAATAAGAAGCAAACCTGGGGATTAGCCAGTGAAATCACTGATGTTGATTTGATCTTGATTTGACCCACAAAAAGCGGGACAATAATTCAATAACTACCAGGTACACACGACATATGCGCTATATTTGTAGTACACTAGGTTATCACCAACAATGTAATAGGGATGTAGCCTGCAACCTGGCCCAACCAGCAGTCCAAAAATGGCGGGTGGAACTGCCGTTTATTGCAGGTTCTGCCACAAGATCAATGTCCCAGAATTGGGGTAAAGGAGCATTTACAGGAAAGCCCTATGGTTGCGGGTCAAAACTTTGGTTTCCAATGATTGTCTGAAACTGAGCCCTTGATTATCTGCAAACCATTTTTTCCCATTGCAAAAAAATATGGCTGTTCTGGTTGGCCGCGTATTTCGTATGACACAGCTAGTCGCAATCAGCCCGCAAGTTTTTACCTTGTCAATCCAACTCTGAGGCAAGAATGAGTTCTGTTAAGCCACAGCCTCACAGAACTCATGAATTCAGAATGAATTTGTACATCAAGACTGAAAAACAAGTTGGTATGAACAGCAATGAACAATTCAAATAGATTGAACATTTTATTGATTTTGACGAAGCAACAATAATATCACTCATGTACATCAAGCATTGACAAAACAAACAATTTGAAAAACTCTATACCCTCCACGTGAACCCCTATGGCCTTTAAAGGATTAGCAAATTCTGGACGAAGAATTCCCAGTAGCTGACTCCACTGGGTCAACCGCCACAGATCAATAAATACATCGATCATGTCGCAGGAGCCGATCTGGATCTGGCAGCGTATGGAACAACTGGTTGACTGGTGGTAAACAAAAGATGTTAAAAGTTTCAACACGTTGAACCACTGCAAACCCAACGGGTAATGCATGGGAATGCTGTTTGAACCTGCCAGTTGATGTGGTGATTTTTATTGCCATACATCAAGAAATAGACTCAGCAGCCATCTATTTCCCAGCAGGGTATCGAATTTACTAGCCACGCAGTTGGGATGTTCTGGAAGTGAGACTGGCAAAGTGGTTCCAGAGCGATTGAAGGCCTCAGATAGCCATCAACTATATAGCAGGTGCATCCATGCAGTTCTAGTGGTTACTTGCCTTCTTTTCAAGCTTGGTAAATGAACATCATTTTCCCTGGCTATAAATTGCGGGTCAATGCCCCATGTTCAGGTCGGCACCCGTGTTGGTGATGTTGAGATAGTTACAATTATTAATAATTAATCAGAATTTGATCCTCATGTTTGATGGGTAAATTCACACAAAAAAGGTCCACATATTACCGTGTTTCAGTATGTTTCAGTGTGCCACTGTCCGTGTGTGAAGACACAGTGTGCCACTGTCAGATGGTATCAGGATGGCCCTCATGTCAAGGATTTGAACCATCAACCAGATGAAATCATCAGTTTGAGTGAAACGGATACTCAGACCTCCACGTACCAATAAAGATTGGCATGTTACCCCACGATTCGCGGTTACCTTTGCCAGATATCCATGTAAATATATACGTTTCGTTGATCAATATGTAGACTGTGATGTATTATATATTTTTATATTGATTTTTATCTATCTATCTATCTATATATTTGTTTGTCTGTCTGTCTATCTATCTATCCATCTATCTGTCTATCTTTCTTTCTATCTGTCTATCTAATCTATCTATCTTTCTTTCTTTCTATCTTATCTGTCTATCTTGTCTATCTATCTATCTATCTATCTATCCATCTATCTATCTATCTATCTATCTATCCATCTATCTATCTATCTATCTGTCTATCGATCGATCGGTCTATCTATCTATCTATCTATCTATCGATCGATCGATCGATCGATCGATCTATGTTTCTATCTATCTATCTTTCTTTCTATCTTATCTGTCTATCTTGTCTATCTATCTATCTATCTATCTTTCTATCTATCTATCCATCTATCTATCTACCCATCTACCCATATTTATATATATATGTATGTATGTATGTATATATATATATATCCCCATGGCTTCCCTGAGTCCAGACTCGTTCAGGAGCCTTGGTGTTGATGAACTCCTTCTCCATGATGATCCAACTAGAGATGGAGGGCCGCACCATTGCCTCAAACCTAGGCGCGGTTCCTGTCTCTAGGTTTTTCTCAAAACTAAAGTTTCTCTAGGTTATCCTAGGTTCTAACCAAGGTTCTAACCAAGAAGGCTCGGCCATGGGTTTAAGTCTACCCTAGAATTGGTTGTTGTAACCCTCAAAATCTCAGTTAAATTGGTTTAAAAGATGGTTCTAACATGTTGCGTTTATAGATATTTTGTTCACCCCGAAACTATAAAATCAGCCAACATGTGAACAATCATTAGTTTGAACATATTAACCATACTTAGTGGTTAATTTTTGAAGCATCATTCATTTTGGTCAAAACTAGCCAAGGGGCCAGCGTCGTACCTTCGCAAGGCCTGCCACAGGGGCACAATTACAGCGCTGCGTTGCCAACCTTTCGCGTGCTGGATGAGGTCTTTGAACCTCGGCTCCAGGGGGACATATAGATGGGATTTCAGCAAGCAAAAATGCTGGCGTCATGTTGGATATTTCCTGGGTGGATTCCACTAAAACACCATGGGAAACAAACATGGGAAAAACATGGAACAATAAGAGAACGGCATGGAGCACATATGGGAAATGATGGAGACGTATGGGAAATTCGCCTATAAATGGAGCTTTATAGCTAGATTCTTATGGCAATTGAAAATTGGTGGATTATTGGAATATAATAGAGATTGAATAAACAGAGATGGCGATGAATGGGATAACTGCAGTTCATCTCCATGGAAAATGTGGAGCCAAGGGCTTTTTGTGGGATTTAGCCGCAAACTCAATGGTGGGTTTTCCAGCAAGCCATATTTGATTAGCGGGATGGTTAAAGAAATGGATGGTAAACGAACTCATGATGCATTTTGGGCCTGGTGGTTCCCTTTTTGGCCATGTCCCGTCCCTACATGGCCTCATGAATTCTGTTCCCAGTGAGCATTTTAAGTGGCTCTTGCACACTAACCATTGCTGACCCTGAAAAAAGAACAAACATCACGGGAAAATCGCCAGTTCAGCCCCAATGACCCAATAGTAAGTGGCTACTAACCATCCCCATGGCATGGCTCGACGACCTCCAAGGTGTGGGTCTTTCTGACGGAGCTCTTGCTTCGGATGTTCGTGGAGGGGCGACAATTTCTCAAGGATATTGCAAACTGGTCACTTGGCCCCAGCCCGGCCACAACCAGGGGAACCTGGATGGAAATTAGCCATGGATGAAGCCATGGATCAGCTGGAGAGACGGCTAATCATCAAGGATGGGGAGGGGTGATGACATATGAAAACCACAGCAGCTTCAGATCGATGCAATTTATCTGCCCAATGGATGATGTTTCTGGACATTTCTGGATGCACTAAGTCCTTAAGCTTCAGTGGCATGATTTTGGCTCACAGTAACCCAAACAAAACACCGGACAGTCATCACTGTGATTTGAGACGGACTGTATATTTTGCCATCTTAACAGGGTGTTTCGATTTCTGTTCGGCAGAAATCACCGGAGGTTGGACGCTGTCCTGGTGATTGCTGGCCTTTTTGATGTGATTCTGGCCATGCTGGGTGGTGGCAACCAGGATGGTGTCATGTTACGCTTCGTCTCGGCCATGACGCGTGGCCGAGACTGGGAGGATGGTGATCCAACTGACAAGCGGCTAGAAATCACCAATTTCTGGGCCCAAATAAACCATGATTTGTGGCTAAATATCCTGCTAAACCATGATTTGTTGGAGGTGCTTATGTAATAGGGGG